CGCCGCTGCGCCCGCCGCCGCCGCCGCGCCGCCGCCGCCGCCGTGGTGCGGGTGCGGCCCCGCGGCGCCGGCAGGCGTGGCGGGGGGGCCTGCAGGGGGTGGGGGCAGGGGCGGGGAGGTGAGGCGCGGGCAGGCGAGGGCAGGCGAGGCACGCGGCGACGGCGGCGGCGGCAGTCGCTGTACCGGCGGCGTGCCGCTCTGCGGCTGCGGCTGCAAAGCGCTGGTGCGCGGCGCGTGCTGGGCTGCTGGAGTGCCGCCGGGAGCAGCACAGCAGTGGTATGGGCATGGAAGCCTGGCTGGGGCGGGGCCAGCTGGGCGAGGGCGGCAACAGCGAGACGGGCGGGAGGGCCGCCGCCGCCGCAGACGGCGGCCCTACTGTGCGCGCACACAGCCCCTGGAGGGGTCGGCCTCGGCCCTGGCGGCGCCCACCTGATTCGCAGGCCACGGCACACAGCTGGTCCAGGCCTTCACTGCTCATGGGCGGGGTTTGAGGGCAGGCGAAGGGGTGCACTTGCGATGGGGTGGAGTGGTTGCTGATGCCCTACCGCATCAGGCCCCTCTCGCTGCTGGACCTCTGGGCAGGCCGTGGGGAAGAGGAGGGCGAGGCTGGGAGCCACCACGCCGTGAGAGTGTGGCAGCAGGGGCTCTTTCACTGAGCCTGCTCCTGCGTGTTGAGTGCTACCCTCGGCCCTCTGCACTTGTTCTTGAGCATAAGGAAATAGGGTGGCGAGCCAGGCGCGCGCCTTTACGCACAGCCAGGGTCAAGGGCAGGCCATGCGGCGGCGCGAGCTGGCGGCGCAAACGGCGGCGGCGGCAGGCGGCGCGTCTGGCGGCGGCGGATGATCAGCTCCCTGTAGGGGCCCATATTTGACGGCAGATGTCCTCCCATTCAAGAGGCAATGCTTCTGGGGCTCTTTCAGTGACCTGGTGCAACCAGCGTGGCAGGCGGAGGTCCCGCATCAGCGCCCAGCAAGGCAACCGAAGCGTGGGGCTTTGCCGCCGCCAGACGCCACCGCCGCTGGCACTCCTCCCGATGCATCTGGTTGATGCATGTAAGGTGATCAACACTGCGCCAGAGGCAGTCTGGAGGTGCAGGGCTGCCCAGCCACCTGCTGTGAGGCGCTGGCAGCACCACGCTCTGTTGAATGACCTGCCGCCGCCAGCGCTGGCCTGGACGGAGGCATGCCAGGCAACGCGTCCTGGAGGCCACTCGATTTCATCATTCTTTACTGTCACCACGACGCCGAATTTGAGGCGAGGTCAACGCTCAGGCCTGCGCATGAGCGCATGCAGGCTCCTAATCCCGCCAACTATTTTGAAAAGCAAGGCCCGCTCCTCTCGTTGTGGCGTCTCCTCCTCGGCCAATCCATCCCGGGAATCCTCCCCGACATCTGAGAGGCTCGCTGCGGGCCCTGTGGTGTGGGCGGACTGCTCATCCCCGAGAGCGTCAGCTTTTTCTGCCGGCGCGGGCCCCAATAGTGAGCGGTTGACACTGCAGACATGCCGGGCAAGGGACAGGCAAGTCTCGGGCCGCCCGCTCGCCATCATCGCTGCCTCGACAATGTCCCGCAATGCCATTCGCGCACAACTGCTGTCGGAAGAGTGCACGTTGGCTGGAAGCAGGCGACGGGGTGCACAGGGCGAGAGCTGTGGAGGGCGGCACCGGGTGCGCCCCGCCGCAGCTGCTCGCTCCACGCCTTCTGCTCCTGTTGCCTTGCGCAGGGCGGCGCCTCCCTGTCGATTGGCCAGTACAGCCACCTGGTGCTGGAGAAGTGAGTGAACGGGCCAGCAGCTCGAGCAGCTGGCTTGCTGCAGGGCACAGTCCTCGGCGCGCCCAGCCGACTGCATGGCTGCGCCGCCGTGTGCCGCAGGTACCTGCGCCACCAGTTCAGCCAGGACAAGCATGAGAACCTGAAGGCCGCCGCGGAGGAGCTGTACGGTACGGTGCACGGCAGCCCGCAGAGCATCGCATGCACGCCGGCGTGCGCATGCGGGGTGTCACCCGCCCCGGCCCCGGCTGCCGCCCCCGCCCCGCCCCGCAGTGCTGCTGCACAAGCTGCGCGCCGCCGCCTCCAAGGACAGCGAGGACTCCAAGGCGCCGCTCAAGGCGATCCGCAACGCCATCGACCACTTTGTGTTCCACGGGTAAGACGGGGGCAGGGCGGGGGCGGCCGGCGGCGGCGCCTGGCGAGCATGCACGCCACGCAAGCCGCCCATCCCCAGCCCTCGGGCTGTCCCAGCGCTCGGAACGCGCCAGCCCAGGCCCGCCTGCTGCCTGCTGCTGGCCGCTGCGGCTGAGGCCAGCCTGGGCACTCATTCCACGCACACTTGGCTGCCCTGCCTGCCCTGCTTGCCCTGCCTGACCCACGCCGCGCTCCCTGCTGCAGCGCGAGGGGCGCGGATTCTGGGGAGGTGGAGGCGCTGCTGCAGCTGTATGCGGCGCTGGAGGAGGCGTGCGTGCGGCGCATCGCGAGTGGGTGCAGGCCCTGGCGCCGCCCCGCCAGCCAGCCTCGAACAACTCTGCACACCCGGCCCGCCCGCCGCCCCGCCTTCCCTTGGCGCAAGGCCGCGGGTCCCTGCTGACATGGGCGTGGTGGTGTTGGCTGCTGCTGGCTGGTGCAGGGGGTGGGGAGGAGGCGGAAGGTGCCCTGCAGGTGCAGGATGCGCTGCGCTACCGCATGACCCGCCTGGTGAGCGCGCGCGGCGGCCGCTGGCTGCGGTGCCGGGGGGCCTAGGCCTGGGCCAGCCTGCCAAGGCGCTGTGTGTGCGGTGCCCTGACGGAAAGCGGCGGCGCAGCCGCTCATCGGCGGCGTGTGCCCCGGCCTGGTGACCTGCAGGTGACGGGCGACGCCTGGGACAGCCGGCCGCAGCTCAAGCTGCGCGTGCTCAAGCTCATGGTGCGTCGGCGGCCGTGGCGAGCTTGCTGGTAGCCTGCGGCACGCTGTCCTCGACTGCGGCTGCTGAGCGCCGCCGCTGCCGAGCCCCCTGCTCCTGCCCCCACCTCCTGCCCCCGCAGTTCCGCTTCATGGTGAGGGAGAACGATCGCATGCTGGCCGCCAGCCGCAGCCTGGGGCCTCACCAGCGCGGCGACCTGCCGCTGCGCCGCCTGTCCCGCTCCGCCAGGCAAGCAGGCCTCGCTAAGCAGGCAATGCGATGCAGCAGCAGCCACTCGGGAGCTGCCGCCGTGCCACCGGCTGGCTGGCACCCCGGCAAACACCCCGGCTCCCACCCCCTCCTGACTTGCTGCCCATGCCTGCCGCCTGCCCCCCCAGCAGCTCTGGAAAGAAGGCGGTGGCAGCAGCGCCCTGCAGCCGCTGGGGGGAGGCCATCAACGAGATGAGCCGGATGCAGGGGTCTAGGGTGCTGCCTCTGCTGAAGCTCGCACTGCTGGAAAACCTGGGGCTCAGCGAGGCCGCCGCCACGGCCGCAGCCGCAGCCGCAGCCGCAGAGGAGACGCCTACACCTGCCGACGCGGCAGACGCCGCCACCCCTCGCCACCTCAAGGCGGCGGCCGCGCCTGCCGGCCCCTCCCCCGCCGCCTCTGAGAGCGCCGGCAGCAGCGACGGCGCGGCGGTGCGGCCCGGCACGGGGGCCGGCGCCGGCGCGGCGCCGCCCTCGCCCGCCACGCCCGCCCAGCCCAGGAGGCTGGGCAGCAGGGAGCCGCCCCCGCCGCCCACCGCGGCGGCGGCGGCCACACGGCAGGGGCAGCAGCAGGAGGGGCAGGGCCAGCCTGTGCCTGGTGTGGATGACCTGCTGGGCCTCTTTGCTGAGCCGCTGCCACAGGTGAGGACCCTCCCCCAACCGCCCGGTGCTGCGCCACAGCCCGCCAGCCCGTGTGATCCCTTCTGCCTGTGACACACGCACAGCAGCACCCCGCCCCACCCAGCCAGCCCACGCTTCTGATGCGCCGCATCTTGCGGCTGTCGGCGGCTGCAGGAGGAGCAGGCGCAGCCGTCCCCCTCCTCCTCCGGCGCTGGAATGACAGCCGAGCAGCTGTTTGCGGTGAGGCAGCCTGGAGGGTGCCCTTCAGCCAGGGGGTGCCCTCCAGTCGGTGGTGGGCTGCTTCCCATGGGTCATGCCCGCCGCACAATACGCACCCTGGTGCCTGACACCCCCAGGCCCCATCCTTCCTTGGTGATGCAGGCGTTTGACGACATCGGCCCCACAGCTAGCCCAGGCAGCGGCGGGAACCCGTTCCTCGCTGCAAGCTGGGCCCGGCAGCCGCAGCCTGCGGGGTTTGGCCCCCAGCCGCCGCCCGAGGCTGTTGGCAGCCAGCTGGGCAGCATGACCATCTCAGGTAGTGCCCCGCCGGCTGCCGGGAGGCTCTGTCTGCATTAAGGGAGCATGCCAATGGTGCCCTGCTCAGCTTGCCAGCACATTCTGGTTCCCTTGCCCCTGCTGAGTGCAGGCGTCCCACCAGCCGTGCCGTCGCCGTATGCCCAGCCCAGCGCTGTCTGGCAGCAGGGCGGCTTCTTCCCGCTGGCGCCGGAGCCGTCTGCCCACTCGGCTCCCACCAAGGGCACCAGCGGCAGCTGGAGCTACGTGCACGGCCACCTGAGCAGCCAGGGCTCTGGCAGCGAGGTGTGCTGCGGCGTCGAGGCAGCCGTGCCGCCGCTGTCCGCCCACGCTGGTGCAATGTGGAGCGCCGAACGGCTGGCTGCCGCCCTCGAGGCACCAAGCAGGGGAGTGCGCTGAGGGGCTGCCTTGCTCGCCTGCCTCCCGTCCCGCCTCCTGCAGCTGTACCGCCACAGCAGCAACCCGCTGTTTGACCAGGCCTTTGACCAGCCCGGCACCGACGCCTCCCCCAGGAGCATGCCCTCGCGCTACCTGGTGCCCCCCTGCGGCCGCCGCTGCCCGGCTGCTGCCTGGCTGCCGCCTGAACCCGCCGTTGCCTGGCTGCCGTCTGCTCCTGGCGCTACCTGGCTGCTGCCTGGCTGCACCCCCTCTGCCCCCCTGAGTCGGCTGGTGTGCCCTGCAGGGCAAGACCAACCCCTTTGGAGACACGCGGTTCAGCGAGCTTGCGCCGCAGCTGCAGGTGGGGCACGCCACCCGCGCACTGGCCAGCCTGCGCCCAATTTGTCCAGGCACCTGCAGCCGCTCACCACACTGCGGAGCTGGTGCCCCCCGCTGGCGCAGGTCCTGCGCCCACCGCCCCCACCGGCGCCGCCAGCGGGCCCCCCCATGCGCTCCGCCTCCCTGTCCTCCAACAAATGAGGGGCCCAGGGGCAGGCCCCGCTGCCAAGCAACCAGCAGCAACCAGCAACCCACCAGCAGCAACCAGCTCCTGACCAGCCACTCAGGACTGCGCCTCTCACAGGGCGGCGCCTCAGGGCTTTCCACTCATGCGTCCGCTACAGGCCCATGCATACCAGTGCCTTTCAGCTCCTGTACCACCTGCCTTTCAGCGCCTGCCCCGCTTCCCGCGTCTCTGCTCTACACGTCTGCCTTACACGCCTGATGTCTGCTGCGTCTTGTCCCAGTCTGCATGTCTGTCGTAAAAAAAGTGCTTTTGCTTCCCTGTAACACAAGCCGCTCGCCGTTTGGCAGCTGCTGCAAGAGAGGGCCCACCCACTGTAGGCCCTGACTCCTCCTCACTCCACCGCTGCCGCTCTGGTTGCTCTGGCGGGGAGGGTGCTGTGCCAGCCGAGGCGCCGCCGCTCACGTCTTCTTCGTGCGCCGCAGGCCCGCCACCCGCAAGCCGACAAGCGGCTTGATGGGGTTGTTGTTGCGCAGCCCGCCGCCGCCGGCACGCAGGCCCGGCAGCTTTGGGGCAGCCCCCGCGTGCGCTGTGGCCTCGCCAGCGGCAGCAGCGCCCGGTCCGCCCACTGCGGCCGCCGCGCCAGCTGCAGGCGGGTTGGCTGGGCGCATGGGCGACTTGAACTGCTTGTGCATGGCCTGCCCGGCTGGCCTGGCGCCCGGCAGCTTGGGCGCAGCTGGCTTGGGCGGCGGCGCGGCAGGCTTGGCCGCCGCCGGCGCTGGCTTGGCCGCTGCCGGGGGCTTGGGCTTCTTGGCTGCAGGCTGGGCTGGCGGTGCCTCAGCATCCTCCTCTGCCACCGGCTCCTCCCCTGCTGAGGCCGGCTGTGCTGCCGCCGCCGCTGCCTTGGCTGCTGGGCCCGCCTTGGCTGCTGCGCCGCCGCCGCCGCTCTTCGCGGCAGCAGCGGGCTTCTGGGCTGGCGGCGGCTTGCCGCTGGCCTTGCCCTTGGCGGCCGGAGGGGCGCGCTTCTTGTCCCGGCCCGTCACCGGGCTGTCGTCGTCTGCGGCAGCCAGCCGGGCGTCGCAGCAGCGGCGGCATGCCGGCTGTCAGGAATGCCATGCCGCGCCCACGACCCAGCACAGCGCATGCAGGCAGGAACAACCCACCAGCGGCGAGGCAAGCCGCTGCTGAGCCGCTCAGCACCCAGCCAGCAGGCCCTTCCAATGCAGCCCCACCAGGCGAAGCGCCCAGCACCCACCTGAGCCCTCTTGGACGCGGCTGTCACTGTCGCTCTCGCTCTCGCTCTCGCTCTCTGAGTCGGACTGGCTGTACTCCGAGTCCGGGCGGCCTGCACCAGCACCAGGAGCAGCAGGCCAGTTTGTTTGGGGGCGCCCAGTCAAACCTGCAGCCACGGATGCAGGCGTGCCGCTGGCCAGGCCCCAAGCGGCGCACCCTTGCTCTCCTCATCCTCCTCCTCGCTCCAGTCGTCATCGTGCGTGTACTGCACAGCCGGCTTGCCCGCGGCAGCCCGCCTGCTCCTGCTGCCAGAGGTGAGCTGCTCCGCGAGCACCGCCGCCGCTGCCGCCGTTGCCGTGCCTGCCGCACTGGACGGAGAGTGCTCCTCGGGCGCCTTGCGCTTCTTGCAGCTGCTGCCCGCCACCGGCGGACCCTCCTGCTGCTGCGGTTTGGGAGGCTGCCGCGCTGCTGGCACCGCCGGGCCGCCAGCGGGAGTGGCCGCCAACGGCGGCGCCGGAGGCCTGCCGGCCAGCACCAGCCCCGCGTCGCTCGCCCCATTAGACAGCTCGTGCACCCCTGCCGCTATGTCCTTGTTGCGGACCTGGGGGGGCAGAGCCAGGCGGCTGGGCCGGGGCGGGGCCTCGCTCGCCATTTGCTTCCCTGCTGCCCTGACTGCGATCTCGGGATGCCTTGGTGCGTGCTCGCGCTGAGGCAGATGGCCACAGCTCGACTTTAGAACGCCGCAGCACGCCGCAGCATGCCACGGATGCAAGTCCTGTCTGCTTTGCGATCAAACGCCAGCAGAACACTGCCAGGATCACCCGCTGGTTTGGCAGCAGCCTGCACAGGTCCAGTCGGGAGCCAGGCGCTGCATGCCAATCCTGCACTGCTAATGAAGTGCCTCTACGAGGTGCTGGGGGTGGAGCGTGATGTGGAGGAGGCGGGCCTGCGCAAGGCCTACCGCCTGCTGGCCCTGAAGTGGCACCCCGGTGAGACTAGGCCGCCGCCCGCCTCCCGCCCGCCGCTGCACACGCCACGCCCGCTCCCTGCCTGCAGCCCACCCCTGCCTCCCTGCCGCGCCGCAGACAAGAACCAGGACAACCTGGCGGCCGCGGAGGAGCGGTTCAAGGAGATCCAGAATGCCTACGAGATCCTGTCAGACCCGCACGAGCGAGCCTGGTGCGCGGCGGGCGGCCGGGCGCCTGGCTGGCTGGCTGGCTGGCTGGCTGGCTGGCCCCAGTCGCAGGCGGGGGCGAGGCGCGGCTGCCCGCAGCTCCGCACCTCATTCAGCGTCGTTCTC